AAAAATCCACCCCATGCAGTGAGAATGGGTAGAGGTACAAGTAAAACAGCAGGGACAACTTGATCATTCTTGAAGGCGGGTCACGGGTATGGGCATTCGTTGTACTAGTATTGTTGGTATATGTTTCACATTTTCAAAAATAAAACATTTTAAAATACATGCCACTGAAATGTAGGCTCAATCCTTTTCATAGCAAGAGAATAGACCTCCTTAAGAAGCTTTCTCTATCAGCAGAGAACTTTTTTTGGTACAAATCCATGGAGATTCTGTTTGTGCACTTCGCATGAAGCATTTTGAAATAGAGCTCATTATTTTCTCCAGTTCCCCTCACACCCACGCCCAGCAAGTCTCCCACTTAATGGACCATCAGAGTGAATATGATATGGTTGCCTCAGCTACCACCAGCCCCAAATTAATTCTTCTCTGGTCTCTCAAATATTTATTTCTAGCAAATACTGGTGCAGATGGAGAAATCGGAGCTGCACCCACTGGGGAAAACAACAGATTTGACAGTTAGAACCCCATCTTCGTCTTTATTCTTACCACTATCTGAAGATAGTGTTTATAAACTAATGGGAAAATGAATTTCCTAAATCCCCATCTTTATATTTCCTTTCAGGACACCTTTTTTTTTTTTTAAATCTCATAAACCCATTGTCATCAAGTCAATTCCAACTCACAGTGACTCAATATAATACAATATTTAAAATTTTCCATCGAGGCTCCAAGACGTGCACCTTCATGGGAGCAGCTAACCTCATCATTCACCAACAGAGTGGACAGCCGGGTTTGACCTGCAGAGCTTGTGGTCAGCAGCCCACGGCTTAACCCACTACACTATCAGGGCTCCTTCGTATCCCATTCTTCAACTTTTTGTTAACCTCGGTTCCTCGTTTCTGAATAATACAAAGACATAGATTTTCAGAAAAATACAATCCACAGCATACTACTCAAAATCAAAGATGCATTTCTGTACTATGGACTCATGTACAAGTTACCGATGTGTTCCACTCATTTTCTAGTGTACCTGAGAGCAATTCCATCGCTTTTCCCAAGGCACGTCAGAAGACAAGACAGAAATGAACTCCGGCTCAGCCACAGTAATCTACAGGTATACTGTGTATTAATCTCCTTGTAGGTCACCAGAAGATCTTATATGCACTTAAAGCATCTTTTAACCAGCGGTAATGAGGTAATGTATGTAGACTTAAATACTTCTATCCATCAGTTCTCAAGTTAGCATATGATAAAACATTGACATAAGCTAAAAGATCTAAAATGTATATACTTTGTAACTTCTACTTACAAATATTTCTACGTAACTTTATATGTGAAGTATTACCCAAGCTCACCGCCACGGAGTCAATTCTGAAGCACAGTGACTTTTTTTGACCGGGTAGAAATGGCCCTTCCATGTTTCTGAGGCCGTAACTCTTTAGAAGAGTAGAAAGCCTCATCTACTTTCCTGTGGCTTCAAACTGCTAACCTTGCGGTTATCAGCCCAATGCATAACCACTACGCCACCTATATATTTACATATTCTGATGAAATCTACTCAATGTGGCACACAATAACAAATTCCAAAGAGGTATTTCAGAAGACATTAATTAGCCTCTATCCAGAAAGGGCAAGTGATCCTGAGGCCAGCATACACATCCATCCAGTCAACAAATACACATGAGTTTCTCTTGCACCCCAGGCAGTTTCTAGGTAGTAGAAATATAACAATAAACAAATCAAAGTTTATACCCGAATTAAGGCTTATATTCTAGCGAAAGGCATGAGCTTGTAAGAATAGTACAGGATATTAAGTACCTCGTGAATAAATTAGGGCAAAACTGAAAGGGTGTGAAGATTGCTAACTAATATTAGCTAGCCAGGAAAAAACTCTCCATAACTGTGGGGGGAGGTCAGACTGCTGTCTTGCCCCACCACAGTGGTAGACCTGCTCCTGGCTGTTAAAGACAATGTACAGGCCTGCAGTCATCTATTTGGTTCCTGTAGGTGGGGTTTACACCCTACTGATAATGGTCTCTCTCAGTAGAGCCAGGAACAAGTCAAACTGGCTCTGTGACATTCAAAGTTAAGCTGCCCATCCTAATTCTAGGATCCGCCCATCTTGTCACATGTACCCCCAATCCCTCCTGTTCCTATTGCTTGTATGTCCCTAGACCACCCCCTCTCATTGCTGTACTACCTATAGTGCAACCCCTTCCTGTGATGTATCTTTACCTGTAATTAGTGGGCTTGCATGCCCCCAAAAGGTACATAGGCCTGGGTTAGCAATAGAGGTCTCTCTCTCCTCTCTCGCCCCCTCCTCCTCTCGCTGGTCACTCCCCTCTCTTCTGCCATCCTCTTTCCCTTCCCCCTCTCTCCACGTGGACCACCAAGCTGGGCTGAGGTGAGCAATGCTACCATGTAATGTGTCTGACTGCCATCATTGTAATATCTCTTCTATCTCTCATGCTCTCGATGATATATATATATATATATACATATATATGTATATATATATACCGTACAATTTTGCTTACTGAACCCGTGGGTAATGTTGGGGGGCTGGCTCCCCCCAACTATTATACTACACATAACATTGACATATGAGTAATACTGGAAAAACGTGGAGATCCAGTATTCAAGGTAGGGAGGGGACAAGGCAAATACAAAGGTCCTTGGCCTGAGCCAACATGCAAATTCAAGCAATGGCAAGGCAGGGAGGCTACTGAGTGAATTCAGCTGAATGCTACTGAGACAAGGAAAGGGGAGGTGGTTACAGGGAGATTATCTAGGGTTTTGTAGGCCATTTTAGTGAGCTGGGCTTTTAGTGTGAGTGAGAAGAGAAGCCATTCTGCTCTGAGCAGGAAAGAACCTATTTCGTGTTTTAAAGGAATCCCTCTAGCCTAGTGGTTTATGTAGATTAGGTAGTGGGAGAATAAAGACTACTTCACTTTAGAAATCCCATGAGGCTCAGAGGAATATTTACTTGCTTATAGGCTATAGTTCCTCACATACCTCAATATTCCAGTAACTCAGAGTGGGCAATGGACTCAAACATAACAACTGTGAGGCTGGTGCAGGACCTGGCAGTGTTGGGTTCTGTTAGACACAGGCTGGCGATGAGGGGGAAGGGACTAGATGGTGCCTACCAAGAATGGTCAGTGGGATTGTTCTGTGTTTGCCATGGGCTTGGCGGTTAGAAGTCATCACATGGAGATTCTCAGGCTCTACTGACGTGATGGCAGTGAGTTTCACCTACTGGACAGTGGCCCCTTTACCACAACTAATCTAAGATAAATAGCAGAAAACGATTACTTTGATGTTGGGGCTTGATGTGAAAGATTTCATATCATCCCAGTTATTCCTAACTCTTATCGCAGTGAAGCTACACTGTCGTGAAAATCCACTTAATGAATACTCCTCAAAGGAGATAAACAGGAAGACAAATATACTGCAAACCAAAAACTATCAATACTCTCCCAAACTTGTTTCATAGCGAATTTAGGAGATCCTTGTATAAAGACAGTCACTCTTCTCTCTCCAATGTATGTTTGGGGTATAGAATGCCCACAAGTAACCTCGCCCAAGAAGTACTGTGATCATTTTCAGTTGCAAAAGGCTGGGGAGGAAAACCACAAACGCTATCAGGACTTTTACCCACATTGGCTTTAGAAGATGTCAGAAACACACGATTTCCTGCACATTCTGGTGATTTCATTCTGTGCGCAGAGCACCCGACAAATTAAATCACAGTGGCTGTGCCATAAATCACAGCTGGCACGCCTGTGTATTGCTTTTTGGTGATGAGCAAGCAGCACAAAATAAGATGCTGATTCCACCCTTTAAGATCTCATCTTCAGCATCGTGTCTATGTTACGTGAAAGGATTTGGAAACAAAAACAAAGGCTACAATACAAGTCCTTGGGGATTTGCTGAAACCTAATCCCACTTGCCAGAAACGGGAGAGTTTTTGTTTTGTTTTTTTCCTTTCCAAATAAGAGGCAGCATCTACCGGGAAGGGGGGAGGAGGGGCGCGGACTATAATGGGAGGTGGCGAGATGCCATTCAATATACTGCTTAGCAGTAGAGCTTTAATGGGATGGGGGCAGGGTGCGAAGTAGGAACTCTGGGACTTTTATAGCTAGGACTACCTCCATCGTATTCCCTCATCTTCACTGAATAGTGCCAAGAATTAACCTCATTTTAAGTACTACTGACAAGGACATTTCTTTTTGGGGTGGGGGGTGGTATTTGCTGTTCTAACACCACTCCAGGCCTTATCAGATCTGTCTCCCCTCTCCTTTTCTCTTTCCTCTATTTACAGCTGCCTGTTTTGTTTCATCTTCTTGGATTGAAGGCAATCTAAAGCCTTCCTGGGATAAGGCGAAGTAGAAATAAAATAATTTCGTTCTCCAGGCCTAAATTTAAATCGATCAGTGTAGCAGGAAGGGGCAGACGTGAAAAGAGAGTGCAGGTGCACTGCAAGGTTTTTTGGTCTCCAAGAGAAAAAGGGATGGGAGCAAACTGCAAGAGATCTGAGAAGTGTGTGTGGGGGGGGGTGGTGGAGGTGGTGGTGTTGGCTTCTGTGTGATTGACAGCCGTGGAAACCCTAGGGGCACTTCTCCACTGTCCGGGGGTGGGGGGGGTGTCGGGGTGTGTGTGTCGGGGTGTGTGTGTCGGTCCATGTACAGTCGTTCCCGGAGCAAACACGTGAATCCAGGAGAGAAAAGGGGTGGGGGTGAAAAAGAATCAATGGAGGCAGCGTCTCTGGTCCCATCTTTCCGCCCCCTCCTCACCGCGCTGCGGAGCTTCCCAGAAAGCTCAACGTCCAAAGGGCCGATTCTCGACACCGGCCCGGGGACCGGGCCCTTGGCAGGCCGTGTGGGGCGATCGGAGGGATGAGGATGGGGTCCGACCAGGCGGCGGGCAGAGGTCTGGCTAAGGAAGGGTGCAGAAGTCAGACACACCAGGTGAGACCACCCGCCAAGATGGAAAGGACCTACCTGGGAGAGGCGAGGTGGTGGGTGCCGCCGGCACCTCTGGCTTCGCCGCCTTCGCCTTTTCCCGCTGCTGCTGCTGCTGCTGCTGGATGAGGCTGAGGTCCGAGCGGCTGAGCTCGGCGCTGGTGGCCGCGGGGACCAGCTGCGCCTTCAGCACCAGCGC